GAAGGACCATAACAGCATCTAGCCTAAGAAGGCTGCCTGACAAGAGCATAGGAAGCCCCAGGGCACAAGATCAAGTGTGAAATAATAGAATACATATATTTGTATCTGCCCCTGGTTCCTGACACAGAGCTCCTAAAACCCTTGGAATTTCCTTGGTTGACAGAAACACCTTTGTTCTAATGAGGTGACTCTTGGTGGGCTCCTGGATAGGAACTGGTCAACCAGAAAGACCAAGACATGATCAGAAGTTTGAAATTTTCGGTCCCACTCTCCATTCTCCAAAGAGAGGCCGGAAATGGAAGTTAATGATTGATCGTTGACTATGCAATGAAGCCTCCATAAAACATCCCCAAAGTATGGGTTCAGGTAACTTCTAGGTTGGTGAACACACGGAGGTGTTAGGGGAGTGGTGTATTGTGAGAGGGCTTTGGAAGCTCCACACCTCTTCCCACATACCCTATGCATCTCTTCCATCTAGATGTTCATCTGAATCCTTTATCATATCCTTTCATAAGTGGGAAAACAGTAAGTACACCGTTTCCCTAAGTTCTATGAGCCACTCTTGCAGATTAACTGAACCTAAGGAGGGTATCATGGCAACCCCAACTTATAGCCAGTCAGCAGCAGCACAAGTGACAACCTGGGACTTGCGATTGGCATCTGAAGTGGGGGGTGCAGTCTTGTGGGACTGAGCCCTTAACTTGTAAAATGTGACAATAACCCCAAGTAGATACTGGCAGAATTGAGTGCTAGGATACCCAGCTGGTGTTGCAGAGCATCACCTGGTATGGGGAAAAAACCCACATATCAGGTTTCAGGAGTGTTGTGAGTATGGCAGTAGTGTGAGTATTAAAGGCATGACACAGGAGAAGTGAGTCTTCACTCACCAGGACATACACTTAGGGCACAGTCATCTATATATCCTAGCCTTTAGGAAAACAAAATTTTTTTAAAGGTAAAACTGGGAATGACCCAAATGTTCACCAAGTGCTAAATGAGTAAACAAATTGTATATCCATATACAGAAAACTACTCAGTAATAAAAAGGAACATACTACTGATACAGGCAATAGTAAGAATGAATTTCAAAAGCATTATATACTAAGTGAAAGAAGCCGGACACAAGACTACATACTACGATTCCAAATTAATGAAAATCTAGAAACAGTAAAACTACAGTGAAAAAAAGCAGATCAGTGGTTGCCTGGGGCTGAGAAAAGAGACTGACAGAAGTGGGGCACAAGGGTACTTTTCAGGGTGATGGAGATGTTGTATAACATGATTGTGGCATTGGTTACATAATTGTAACATTTGTCAAAATTCATCAAATTGTAAGCTTATACTTTAAAAAAAGAGAAATAAGTATAATTTTATAACCTGAGGCTTTTAAAAGCAAGATAACTCAAGAAAATTGGAAAGCGCCTATTTAAAACCAATCCTGATTCCCCTCTCCAAAATCATTACTGATGGATTAAAAAAACATCAAAGTACCTAAAGAAATATTACTATGTTCTCAGCTCGCCTATTAATTCAAATGAGAAAATAACAATATAGAATAAAAAAAGGACACACAATGACAACAAAATGATTGCAAAAGGAACATCAAGAAAGTAATGGTAATTAAAATTTAAAATTACATGGACAACCAGATCTAACTGATACCAGTTAATTCAGTGTTAACATGAGGTAAAGCTTCTAATGGTACCTTACAAAGTTGTTGGCCCAATTCTGTTCAGTATTTATCCAAATTAAGAATAAAGATAGAAAGTATGCTTATTTAATCTATATATGATATAAACCCGAATAATGGTTCTATAAAAGAACTGATACATGAATAAGATGAGCTGTATCTAACAGGGTAAATTTCACATGGATAAACACGAGGCTCATAAAAATCAAGTACAAAGATAGAGATGAAGAAATCTGAGCCAAAAGTATTTCATATAATAATAGTCAAGATTTACCAAGCACTTCGTGCACTGCTCAAAGCAACTTACATATACTCATTCATTCACTCAACAAGTTACCTACTGAACACCTATTACATGCCAGTCACTAAGCATCATAGATATATTAGTGAAAAAAAACAGATATGAAGCTTACATTGTAGTGCTGGAAGACAGACAAAAAACCAAATGAATAATACAGTAAAATGGGTAAAAATAAAAGAGAAAAGCTAACAGGGATCCTGTGGATACATGTGTTACTAAATAGGTTGGTCAGAAAAGGCCTCACTGTGAAGGCAACTTCTGAGCAGACTCAAAACAGGTGAGGTAATGAATCCCATAGATATCTGCAGGAAGATTGTTCCAAGCGGTATGCGCAAAACTTCTGAGGTTAAGTGTGTCTACCATGAGAAATATGAAGAACACTGCTAGGGCAGAGTAAAACAGAAAAAGGAGACAGTCAGAAAAGCAACAGAGTGGGAAAAGGTGAAGACAGTGAAGAGCCCTTCAAACCATCAAGAATTCTCTGGTTTCTACTCTGAGTGACATGGGAAGCTACTGGAGAGTTTTGAGCAGTGGTGTGGCATTAACTGGACTTACTTTTAAACTGATCCATCTGATTGCCTCCAGAAAGATTTAGAAGGGGAAGCAACTTTATCTGTTGATGGAGGTATGAGGTATGAAAGAGAGGTTACTAAAAGATAACTTCAAGATTTCTAACTTGAGCAACTAAAAAAGGATTTCCATTAACTAAGACGAGGAAGACTGAAGGAAAAACAGATTTAAAATGAAAGATTCAGAGATTTTATGTTTGAGATATCTATTAAATATCCAAAAGAAAATAGTGTTCATGCAATAGGTAAGTCTAAAGCTCCGGGAATCTATTAGGCTAGATACACAAATGTTGAAGGTCATCAGAGTACAGGCAGAATGTAAAACTACAAGACTCAAAGAGATCACTAAGGGAGTGAGTAAAGGTAGAGGAGAAAAGTCCACAAACTGAGCCCAATAATAAAAAAGGTCATCAGAAAGATGAGAAGGAACTGTTACTCTTTAGGTATTCGTGTATTTAGTCCTCACTGGTATCCTATAAATTATTATTCCTATTTTATAGTTGAGGTAGCCGTAATTGGCCAGAAATTTCATGGTTAAAAGTGCAGAATCAGGGTTCAAACCTAGGCAATCTGGCCTCAAAGCCTTTTGATGCATTATCTTCTTCTTCTCTAAAAGACCTGGGTTTTTTTTTTTTTTAAGATTTTATTTATTAATTTGAGAGAGAGAGAGAGCGAGAGCAGAACACAAGCAGGGGGAGTGGGAGAGGGAGAAGCAGGCTTCCGCTAAGCAAGGAGCCTGATGCGGGGCTCGATCCCAGGACGCTGGGATCATGACCTGAGCCGAAGGCAGGCGCTTAACGACTGAGCCACCCAGGAACCCCAAGGACCTGGGTTTTTAAAGCACTTCATGCTCTGCATAAATCAACACTATATCACTGTCCAAAAAGCTAATGGAATTTCAGGCTACATAAGGAAATGGATGATGTCAAAACAAAAGGAGGTATTACTCTAAGTGTTTTTAGCACTTTTTAGACCTGTATTGTATTCTGGCTGTCACACTTTATAAACATTTAGTAGGTGCTCAATAAAGGCTCATTATCATTACTATCATCATCATCGTTATAGATGCACACTGTAGCTTTTCCTCAAATCTCTGCAAGTCGCTATCAGTAATGTCACGCTGTTTTCCCAAACTGAGCAACAGAGCATTAACCGAGTATCTTCTCTTAAATCTAAATACTAGTTTTTTCATAGTTGTTATTAGCAGTTAATTAGACAGTTAATTATTTTAAGAACAAGAGAAAAAAACTACATATATCTTAATCATAATTTGACACAGGGCACAAAGTTTGTAACTATATCATTTTAAAGCATCCATTTCAAAAACAATCAATAATACTGTTTCATGGTATAAGAAACACATCTAGCCATATTTTAGCTTTACCTGTCTACACCAGCACTACCCAACAGAACTTTCCGTGATGATGGAAATGGTCCGTGGACATGCTCTGTATTTGCGCTGTCCATTAGGGTACACACAGACCTTAGGTGCTCCTGAGCACTTGAAATGCACCTAGTGCGACTGAGGAACTGGATTTTTTATTTAATTTAAATTAAATAGCCACATACAACTAATGGCTACCGTATAAGACAACATAGTTCTGGAGTAAGATCCAATTAAGACCCAGCTTTCCAGGACAATACATCCACGAATATTTGTCTGAAGATATAAAATGAGTAATAAAGATAGGGCTCCTGGGCGGCTCAGATGGTTAAGCGTCTGTCTTCGGCTCAGGTCATGATCCCAGGGTCCTGGGATTGAGTCCCACATCGGGCTTCCTGCTCAGCGAGGAGCCTGCTTTCCCTCTGCCTCTCTCTCTCTGTCTCTTATGAATAAATAAATAAAATCTTAAAAAAATTAATAATAAAGATAAAATCTCATACAAAAGTAGAGAATTTAGGTGAGCACAAAATACTGACATGCTTAGCAATTACTGTCCCTTTTCTTCCACCTACCCTCCTTTTCTAGGGTAACTAAAAATGTCATACCCTTATAATTTTTTTAAATTGTTTTCTTTTTAATTACTGCCAGCGTTTTCGGAACACTAGGTGCTAAGTTAATTTAAAAGCCATCCCTGTCTCCTAACACACACACGCGCGCGCGCGCACCTCTGAAAAACCAAGTTAGAATGAATATACATTATGTGCCTCATTCCTTCTGTCTCAAAATCCACCCCCTCGAAGCCTGGACTAACAGCTGGCTCTTCCGAGTCGGTCGTAACCCTCCAAGGACACCTTCCCGCTGGAGCTCCAAAAGCAGGGGTCAGGTGTGTGGCAGGGCGGTTTTGGATTTCGTGGAGTAACGCAAGAGCCACGCCGCCAGTGCATGTGTGGGTGTGTTCCGGAGGCAAGGAACCCGGCACTAGTACGAGGGGGAAATTGAGGGAATTCGCACATGCACACGAGGAAGGAACAGGTGTCCAGGCAGGCCCCAGGTTACCTGCACATCCCCAGGGAAATAGAGAACGTGATGCTGGGGCGCTGACTGCGGCTCCTCCTTCGCCCGGTCCCCAGAGAGGGCCCGCCGTTCCGGTCCCTCCCCCGCCGTCTCCGCCACCAGCAGGAGCAACTCGTTGCTGCGCTGCGGGTCAGCTCCCGGCACCGTGGACAGCTGCAGGCACTGCTGCCGGCGCCCCTCCGCCAAGGGGGAGCACCGCGCACCGCTGCCGCCGCCCCGGTTCATGGTTTCGGCCTGCGAGCGGGACGCGGCGATTCCGAGGCTGAGCTGCGGCAGGAGGAGCAGCAGCGGCGGCGGCGACCGCAGGAGCCTGAACTCCCACATGGGTCGCTGCCGCGAGAGCGGTTCAGGGGTGGGGGGAGGTCCTGAGGGAGGGACTTCGGCCCGCCGCCCAACGGTCCGCGGGAGCAGCCCGGGCGGGACTCAGCGAGGGGCGACGACGGCGTCAGAGGCCGACGTCGGTGCGCAGCGTGCGTAAAGGAAGGGCGGGGTGTGCGCGAAATTGGACTCGGCTCCCGGAGCTGGAGATGGAGGCGTGGCCCGAGGAAAGACGTTTGTGATTGGTGGGTTCTGCTGCGCGGGAAGTTCGAACGGAAGTCTGGTAAAGAGCTGGAGGAGAGCAAAGAAAGAGGGAATGAGCTAAGGACTCCGAAAGAAGGGCGGCAGTTGTAGCATAAGCACAGCAGCAGGAGTGGCCCGAAGGTCGTTGTCCGGTGACTGGGTAGAGTTTTGAGTATACTATGCTCCCGTTTCGGTAGGCTCACCATTCAGGTGAGACTTTTTATAGTTCTTTGAGCCCTGAATGAAAGGAATCTCCCTTTTCTCACAAGCTGGAGTTTTCTTTGTAGATGTAGAGGATTTCTAGGTTCATGGGAATTTATTGTTAGATACGAAACCTGATGCACCTTTAATGGGTCATGGGGAACAGGGCACATGGACTAGGACAGGAAAAATGGGGCAAGGCATTACCTGTTACACATTTGTTGTCCCTGGTGTTTGCAGCCAACGGGATTTGCTATTTTAGGGTTTTCAAAAACCAGTGTTGGTGGCCAGTTGTGTAGGAGTAAGTTTTAGCCAAATGTATGCTAAAGACAGGGAGCGGGGAGGAAGGGTTCAGTATTCTAAATCTCAAGCTGTTTGTGAGGCAAGGCACTATAAGGAGCCTTATAGGAGACAATATTAGTGAGAATTATAAAAATTATGGCCAACACTGGGGAGCCTGGGTGGCTCAGTCGTTAAGCGTCTGCCTGGCTCAGTCGTTAAGCGTCTGCCTTCGGCTCAGGTCATGATCCCAGGGTCCTAGGATCGAGCCCCGCATCGGGCTCCCTGCTCCACGGGAAGCCTGCTTCTCCCTCTCCTACTCCCCCTGCTTGTGTTCCCTCTCTCGCTGTGTCTCTCTGTCAAATAAATAAATCTTTAAAAAAAAATTATGGCCAACATTTATTGATGCCTTACTATAGATCAGGAATTGAACTCGATAAAATAAAAGGAATTTTCAACTTTTAATGTTTGTGGGCCTGCTTATGCCTAATAAAGAGGCTTATGAGCTCTAAGGGAAAGCATGCATTAACATTTACGAGTCAGCAAAAATCTCAAAGCATGGGCTCTATTTCTGCCCTGAGCACATATTGTACATCTGCTTTGTTTATAAATAACCTAAAAAAGAGCTTTTCATACATAAAGAAAAAGTTAAAAAAACACAAAAACAAAACACCTCCCTGATTCCTATAAGATTAAGGTCATGCAGCCCTACATGTACTAAGCTTAAGATAAAGTCTGTTTCTTTCTGCATTGTCTTTTATCTAATGATTTGTAATTATGTAAACAATGTATATAATCCTACACCAAATGTTCTTTCCCTGGAGCACTCTCTTTATGATGATTGTGCATCTGGGCAGCTGTCCTAATTTGGGATGGAATAAAACTCTTTCTTTCTTAAAGAAATTCTAAAAGACTATTCATTTTGTGTTGACAAATTAAGCACTTCACATTATTAACTGTTCTGAATCTATATATGTATGTGTTTAAGTACACACACTGTTTTCTTTGCTCCACATATCAAATACTAACAAATAAGCTTGGGAGTGCCTGGGTGGCTCAGTTGGTTAAGCATCTGATTTCGGCTCAGGTCATGATCTGGGATCCTGGAATCAAGCCCCATGTCGAGCTCTGCATTCATCCAGGAGTCTGCTTGTCCCTCTCCCTCTGCCATTTGTGCTTCTCTCTCTTTCTCTCTCAAATAAATAAATAAAACATCTTTAAAAAACAACAACAAATAGTCTTGAAGTAAGAACACAAGTGAACAAATGATAAAATATAATTTTCTTATATATATTTAGTGAATTCGTAGAGGTATAATATACTAAACCTACTGTGGTCCAAATTATTGGGTTCCATCTGACATCATAATAGTGTAATCAATTAAAAATTAATTATTACTAAGTAGATCTGCTTTTTAACAATTACTGGTTAAAAGAAACTGAGGCCAATTATATAATAATGAATATATAACCATATTTAGGAAACCAGCTCTCACTCTATTTTGTGAATCATATACATATTGTTACATTCTCTTGTTAGGTAGAGGATTACTGAAATGTAATCCCAAAACCCAAACATATACGTGTGTTCCAAATGCAGCTTTTTTTTTTTTTTTTTAAGATTTTATTTATTTATTTGAGACAGAATGAGAGAGGGAGAGAGAGCACATGAGAGGGGGGAGGGTCAGAGGGAGAAGCAGGCTCCCTGCCAAGCAGGGAGCCCGATGCGGGACTCCATCCAGGGACTCCAGGATCATGACCTGAGCCAAAGGCAGTCGCTTAACCAACTGAGCCACCCAGGCGCCCCCCAAATGCAGCTTTTGATTTTTGTAGTCTTGTTTTTAGGTTGACCTTTTAATGGAATCTGTCACTATTGAAGATATTGGGGAGGTCTTGTATTTTAGAAAAAAGATTAATTGTAGTAAACATTAAATACTACAAAGTTGTCCCAGTTATTGTAAGATAATTGAGGTCTTTAAGAAATACAAATAAAGATTTAAAGGGCAGAGTAAAGAAACAGATTGAAGTAAGCACAAGGTTTTTTTTCCCCCACAGTCAAGGATTTACATAAACCAACAGTAGCCACTTCCAGAAAAAATTATAGCTCTTAATTCATCAGTTGAAGTATGTATGTCATTTATATTAAGTCATTGACATTGTAATTGCTTTTCATAGGTCCTATTGATGTTACTGTAATAGCTGTTTTCTTTCTCCATCCCCTCTTCCTTTTTCCAGAAAGACCAATATTGTAAATCACTACTTTTCAAATAATCATAGGCACAGACTGCCCAGCTCTTTCCCCCTTTATTCTCTCTCTGAGATGGGCTTTTCTTCCCTGAAAGAGGTCTCACATATGCAAAGTTAGTGTAACCAGTTGTTTGAATTTACCCCTCCTTTCTATCAGATAAAGGTCTCCACAGGAATTTTAATATGCTTACAGGGCCCAAAAGGCCACAGCTTATCTCTGGACTCTAGACAATGCTCAAAGGATCCTGTGGGACTTTCAGAAATTTTGTTATACTATCCAGTATAATAAATAGAAAAAGTTGCACAATTGGAAGGAATCTGAGAAAGTGCAAATAATATACATTGGAAAGGATATCGTTAAAAGGTCATAAATTCCAATCCCTACAGAGGCTAAGCCTGTATCATAAATAGTAAAATTGGCCATTTGTAATACAATAGGGAGTAGTAAAGACTGCAGCAAATTAGAGGACGTGTCATATTTGAAGGAAGCAGTCACGATTCACTACCCGTCAGTAGTAAAATGCAGGCCACATTTGCCAAATTAAAATTTTTCTTTTTTTTTTCCCAAACTCAAGTTTTTCAAGGTAAATCAGATACATTGATTTTTATGTGTCATTTCCTAATTTATAAATCCTACCAAGTAATTAAATTTATGTTTAAAATGTTTTATCAAATTAAATGCAGGCATAGACCAAATTTGGCGTATGGGTCACAAATGTGCAATTTCTCTCCTAAAAGGTATAATGAATGGATACAGAAAAGCAGAGAATGGCTGGGGGGAAGGAGATCTTGATTGTGGGTTCCTGTGGGAGACTGAATGGGAAAGGAATGAATAAAGAGAGATTTTTAAAGTTTTTTCTTAGAATTTGAATTGGATCCCATTTGATATTCTTTGAGAGATTCCAATGATGTTTTAATTCTTTTCAATTTTTCTTGGCTTTGGACAGATATTTTATGTGTTTTCATAAGCCTCTGTACCAAACTTGGATACTGAAAGGACCAGGCTTCAGATGAGGTATGTAACTCTATCATATAATTTTGCCCCCAAAATGCCTAATAAAATAAGATTAGAAAATAAAGATATGTGGGGATTTGAAAGCTTATTTTTTGGCTAGTATCACTAGTTAAGTGACATTCTACACTGCTCTTGTAGCGTATGATTTAAATACATGTTTCAGCAAAATCTGTAATCGAAATCAACCTAATAAAGGACATCTATGAAAAGCCCACAGCTAACATTATTAGTGGTGAAAGACTGAATGTTTGCTCCCTAAGAACAGGAACAAGATAAAGATGTCTATTCTTGCCACTTCCAATCAACACCGTACTGGAGGTTCTAGCCAGGGCAGTTAGGCAAGAAAAAGAAATAAAAAACATCCAGATTGGAAAGGAAGGAGTAAAACCATGCAGATGACATGATCTTGTATATAGAAAATCCTAAGGAATCCACTAAAAACTATTAGAAATAATAAACAAGTTCAACAAGGTTGCAGGATACAAGATCAATATACAACAATCAATTGTACTTCTGTACACTAGCAATGACCAATCTAAAAGTGAAATTAAGAAAATTCCATTTACAACAGCATCAAAAAGAATAAATACTTAGGAATAAATTTAATGAAAAAGATGAAGAACTTATATACTGAAAGCTACAAAACATTATTGAAAGAAATTAAAGAAGGGACGCCTGGGTGGCTCAGTCGGTTAGGCGTCTGCCTTCGGCTCAGGTCATGATCCCAAGGTCCTGGGATCGAGTCCCGCATCGGGCTCCCTGCTCCGCGGGAGCCTGCTTCTCCCTCTGCCTCTGTCTCTCTCTCTGTCTCTCATGAATAAATAAATAAAATCTTTAAAAAAAAAAAAAGAAAGAAATTAAAGAAGACCTAAATAAATGGAAAGACATCTCATGTTGGTGGATCAGAAAATATTGTTAAGATGGCAATTCTCTCAAAGTTGATTTACAGATTCAGTGTAATCCCTATCAAAATCCCAGCTGCATTTTTTTTTTTGCATAAATGTACAAGCTGATCCTAAAATGCATATGAAAATGCAAGGGACCCAGAATAGCCAAAACAGTCTTGAAAAAAGATGATCAAAGTTGGAAAGCTCATAATTCCCCATTTCAAAACTTCCTACAAAGGCACAATAATCAAGACAATGTTATACTGGCATAAGAAT